AAGCTATCCAGCACTACCCAGGCTAGTTGACCTAGTGCAGCCTGCAGCAAAAAGCAGATGGTGGTGCACATTTTTAATCCCAGCACTAGGGAGGCAGAGACAGGCAGATCTTTGTGAGTTCGAGGCCAGCCTGGTCTACAGAGTGAGTTCCAGGCCAGCCAGGAGTACACAGAGAAATCCTGTCTTGAAAAACTAAAACAAAAAACCCACAAAAACAGTTTTTAAAAATATAATATATACTGATTACTGTTTCCCTTCCCTCTACTCCCAGTTCCTCTCCGCCTTCCCTTGATCCAAATCCACCCCTTTTCTGTCTCATTAGAAAACAAACAGGTTATTGTTATTATTATTTCTTTTTATGTTTTAGTTAGGGTCTCTTTATATAGTTCTTGCTATATAATTCACTGGAATTCACTATGTAGACCTATGTAGGCTAGAAAACAAATAGGCTTCTAAGGAATAATATATAATGTGATATATAGATAAAAGAAAAACTAACATATTGGAATAGGACAAAACAAACAGAAAGAAAAGACTCCAAGAAAAGGCACTAGAAACAGATACAGATGCAGTGACCCACTTGTTCACATACTCAGGAAGGAATCCCATAAAAACATTACACTGCAAGCCATAGTATATACATAAAGGACCTGTAGGGTTAAAAAGGAGAAAAAAATTAAAAATATATAAGTAAAAAATAAGTCCGGTGGTGGTGGTGGTGGAAACCTTTAATCTCAGCACTCCACGGGCAGAAGCAGATGTTTAAGGCCAGAATGGTCTATGGAGCTATGGAGCGAGTTCCAGGACAGCCAGGGCAACACAGAGAAACCCTGTCTCAAAAAACAAACAAAGATTTAAAAAAAAAGGAACCTCTAAAGATGCTGTTCGTTTTCTGTTGGCCATGTACTGCTAGAGGCTCCCTTGGAGAAAACTAAATTTTCATTTGCAAGTGATTATCAATTGGAGATACTGCTGGGTTAGGGGTGGGGACATGTGCTCACTTTTCTTTTATCTCTAAGGCCCCATCTGGTGCAGACTAGTGCATGTTGCTTCAGTCTCTGAGTTCATGTGAGCTTTGACAATGTTGATTCGTTGGACCTTGTTTTCTCAGTGTACTTTATCCTCTCTGATTCTTTCTACGTCCTTTTCCACAGGCCTCCCTGAGCCCCGAGGAAGGATTTGATGAACACATCCCATTTAGGAATGAATGCTGCAAGGTTTCTCACTCTCTGCATGTTGTCTGGCTGTGGGTCTCTGTATTTGTTCTCATCTACTTCAGGAGGAAGCCTCTGATGATGGCTGAACAAGGCACTGATCCATGAGTAGAGCAGAATGTTATTAGGAGTCGTTTTATTGCCATGTTCTTTCAGTAGAACTGTAGTATTTAGTTTTAGACTGGATACCTGGGTTATCTATTTTTAGGTTCTTGTTCACCCAAGGAACATCAGGTATGACTTTCATCTTGTGCCACCATTGACCTGGCATATCGTGCAGGCAGAACACTATTGTAGATCAAAGGCTTTGTGGCTAGGCTGGTTTCTGTTTTGGTAGAATCAAAGATGCTAGATCCTAGGGGTGAAGACTCTATGCAGGCATCAGCTCAGTTTCTGTATGTTCAATGAGTTGTACAGGTGTTGTCTTCAGTAATAGGGCCTTGTCACAAGTTTGTGGAAAGCACCTATAATCTTAGCAACAGCCTGGGTTATTTGGGGGTCCCCATGAAACCCCTTGACCAATTAGATTGTAACCCATTCTCAGTACTATACTGGAAGTTTCATTTGCTGGCAAGAGATGGCCAGTTGAGGCTCTGTCTCTCCCATTTATGACAATTTCATTTAGATCACTTCCATATGTGTATATACTTTAGGAAGCTTCTACTGTATTAGGTTTCCAGTATATTACCCTTCAAATGGCCCTTAATTTTAGCTATCTTTCCCCATAGTCCCTTTATTATCCCCCCTTTCCCTCCCCCTCTCCACTTTATCCTCGTGTTCTAGCAACCTCCATGCATCCATAACTGTCTGTCCTATTTCCTTTTTCTAGGGATATCTGTCACCCCCCACCCCAGTTCCTTACTCCGTGGTTCTATGGATTGTAGCTTGGTTATCATTGACTTATAAGCAAATACATACCATTATTGTCTTTCTGAGTCTGGATTATTTCACTCAGTATGATTATTTTCAAATTCCATCTGTTTGCCTTCAAATTTCCTGATGTCTTGTTTTTAACAGCTGAGTCATATTCCATTGTGTAAATGTACCACCTTTTCCTCATCCATTTTTCTGTTGAGGGGCATTTAGGTTGTCTCCAGTGCCTGGATATTATGAATAGAACAGCAAGTGTCTTTGTGGTAGGATGAAGCATCTTTGGGTATATGCCAGGAATGGTAAAGCTGGATCTTGAGATGATCAATTACCATCTTCCTGAGGAACCACCATGCTGATTTCCATAGTGGCTGCAAAAGTTTGCACTCCCACCAGCAATGAATGGGTGTTTCCTTTACTCCACATACTCTCCAACATGAGCTTGTGTTATTGATCTGAGCCATTCTGACTGGTGAAATATCAAAGTCATTTTGATTTCCATTTGCCTGATGGCCATTGTGAATTCTGTTTATATCTGTACCCCATTTTTATTTTTATGTTTATTTGTTTATTTGAATTAGAAACAAGCTTGTTTTATATGTCAATCCCAGTTCCCTCTCCCTCCTTCCCTGCCCCCCAACTGACCTCCTATTCCATCCCCTTTCTGCTCCCCAGGGAGGGTGAGGCCTTCCATGGGGATCTTCCAAGTCTGTCATATCATTTGGAGCAGAGCCTAGACCCTCCTCCATGTGTCTAGGCTGAGAGAGTATCCCTCTGTGTGGAATGGGCTCCCAAAGTCCATTCATGTACTAGGGATAAATACTGATCCACTACCAGAGGCCCCATAGATTGTCTAGACCTCCAGAATGGCATCCATGTTCAGGGGTTCTGGATCAGTCCTATGCTGGTTTCCCAGTTTATCAGTCTGGAGTCCATGAGCTCCCCCTTGTTCAGGTCAGCTGTTTCTGTGGGTTTCTCCAGCCTGGACTTGATCCTATTGCTCATCACTCCTCCCTCTCTGCACCTGGATTCCAGTTCAGCTCAGTGTTTAGCTGTGGGTGTCTGCCTCTGCTTCCATCAGCTACTGGATGAAGGCTCTAGGATGGCATATAAGGTAGTTATCAATTTCATTGGAGAAGGGTATTTAAGGTAACCTCTCCACTATTGCTTAGACTGTTAGTTGGTGTCATCCTTGTAGATCTCTGGACATTTCCCTAGTGCCAGATTTCTCTTTAAACCTATAATTGCTCCCTCTATTATGGTATCTCTTTTCTTACTCTCCTCTATTCCTCCCCCAACTCAACCTTCCTGCCACCTCATGTCCTCTCCCCTCCTCTTCTCCCCTTATCTTTTTCCTAACTCTCTCCCCTCCCCCCATGTTCCCAGTTAGGTCAGGAGATCTTGTCCCTTTCCCCTTCTCTGGGGGACCATGTATGTCTCTTTTATGGTCCTCCTTGTTTCCTAGCTTCTCTGGCAATGTAGATTGTAGGCTAGTAATCCTTTGCTCTATGTCTAAAATCCATATATGAGTGAGTACATTCCATGTTTGTCTTTTTGTGACTGGATTACCTCACTCAGGATGGTTTCTTCTAGTGCCATCCATTTGCCTGCATATTTCAAGATTCCGTTGTTTTTTCCACTGAGTACTTCATTGTGTAATGCTGTACCTCATTTTTAATTGGGTCATTTGTTTTCTTGATATCTAGTTTCTTGAATTCTTTATATATATTGAATATTGGTCCTCCATCAGATGTGTAGTTGGTAAAAATCTTTTTCCATTCTTTAGGCTGTTGCTTTGTCTGAATGATGGTGTCCTTTGTTGTGAAGAAGCTTCTCAGTTTCATAAGGTCCCATGTATTAATTGTTGATTTTAGTACCTGTGTTAATGGTGTTCTGTTCAGAAAGTCTTTTCCCGTGCCAATGCATTCAAGGCCATTCCCCACTTTCTCTTTTATCCAGTTCACTGTATGTGGTTTTATGTTGAGGTCTTTGATACATTTAGAGTTGAGTTTTGTGCAGGGTGGTAAATATGGATCTATTTAGATTCTTTTACATGCATCCATCCAGTTTGACAAGGCAGACCACCCCAATTTGATAGGTGTGGGTTCTGTTCATTTTGGGTGGCTTACCAGGTCTGTCTGTGTTGTCATCAAGAAGTCTGCAGATACTTATTGCTGCAAAGACCTGGACTTGGCTCTCTGGAGGAGGGACCAGCACAAGCCATATAGTCAGTACCTGTTTTGGACAAACTGTATTCTATACCTTAAGAGATTGTGTACACATTCTTGTGACAAACTGTGGACTTGAGGGACCTCAGTGGTGCTGGTGTCTATACAGGCCTTATAGGGTGGCTGCTTAGTCCTCACAGTTGTTTGTAGAATGCACACTTATGTGGCACTATCATTTTCTAGGAGGCAGGCTATACTTGTCAAACAACTGAAAACTGATAATACTGAATTAAAGGTTGCTTTCTAACAGTTCTAACTCTGTTTCCTTTGTCTAGATAAAGTCTGTTATTGAAAGTTCACTTGACCTTTTTTATTAACCAGTTTAGTTGGTTGGAGTTCAAGAAATTACAATGAAACATAAAGCAGCATTTGTGAAAACTGTTTCCACACTCTAATCCCCACGTATTTTGCTACTTCCACAGAACTGATGGTACTGGCTTCAGGTCACATTAGCAGACAGGTTGAAATGGGTTAGTTTTATGAGATGACAGAACAAAGACTCCCCTGCAAGATGCTCTCTGGCATACCCTGATCTGCTTTACACAGTTGATTAAGGCCCCAAATAGCTAATTTCTGAGACTGTGAGCTGCCTTCACAGCTCTTTGGTTTCTTCCCAAATGGGATGGTCTTATGTGTGGTGCTAGATAGTGGTTGTTTTTGCTAACTGTGCAGACTTGCTCTCTTGTAGTACCTCCACTCTGGGAGAACTTGGACCTTGTTCCTGCGGGTGATCGGCAGTCACCCATCAACATCCGATGGAGGGACAGTGTTTATGACCCTGGCTTAAAACCACTCACTATCTCTTATGACCCAGCCACCTGCCTCCACATCTGGAATAATGGGTACTCTTTCCTTGTGGAATTTGAAGATTCTACAGACAAGTCAGGTAAAAGCAAGATCTGGTTGTCATTTGTATAGTGAAGGGAAGGGAACTATGTTATACCAAAATAGGACACAACAGGCAGTCTCCATGGTACTAGTAACCTCTTTATTAACAGTGATAGGAAACTCAACTTGTTTTACTTTTTGAATATGTGTAAAATGTCTTTATGATCAGTTCTTCCATCCAATACAAGTGATATTGTATTATATGGGAATTCTATAACCAGCATAGAAGAGAATATGTGAAATTTAATTTTGCCAGAAATTAATTTTTATGTATATATTCAATATGTACAAATTTTCCTCTGCTTGCTGACTTTAAATGAACCATATTAAATATAAATAGTATTAATCACATTTAACTTATCAGATTGCAATATACCTGAAATGGGGCAAAAATAATATTTGCGTGTACTAGATTATGGTCTTAACTAGTTAAGATGAGTCACATATTAAATAAGAAATTTATATCAAGCTAGTCTTGTTAAACAGTATCACTTAGTTTTGCAGGGTATGGTGGCACACACCTTTAATCCCAGCACTCGGAAGGCAGAAACAGGTGGATCTCTGTGAGTTCAAGGCCAGCCTAATCTACAGAGCAAGTTCCAGAACATCCAGCACTGCACACAGAGAGATCACATCTCAAACAAAACATTGTGAATTTGATGATGCCCAATAATGATTACTTTGAAACAATTATTTTTCAAAATAGCATAGCTAATGTAGTGGTTCTCAATTACAAATAGTTCTGACACCTTCCTCCCATGGCTCCATTTCCTCCCCACCCACAGTCCCTGGACTGGGGATTCTCAGGAAACTCTGTAGACATTTTTGGGTATTTCAACTATTGGGGAAGGAGAATACAGGTAGCATTTAGTGATTCTGGACCAGGGATGGTGCTAAAGGTCCTATAGTGTACACAACACCATTCATGAAGATTATCAGGCCTCGGATACCATTAGAACTGATGTTGACAGTTCCTAAGCTCAAAGAAAATGGCTTTTTCTGATGAATCTGTAATAGTGATTCTGGACAAGGTAAAAATGCATGATTTAAAAGCATGGGCATATTTAAGTGGTTTGGAAATATCAGATGTTTCTTTGTTTTATTTGCTTAGCTATGGTGCCCTGGCCTCTTTGGCTCCTTTAACTGCAAACAGACTGTTCTTCCATTGGTGTCTCTCTGTGGTTATCTTCCTTCTAGTATCCTTCTCTGCTATGATTCGGTATTCAAATGTGTACTTTTGTGCTAGAATATCGACATCTCCCATTCTCAGCTTTGTCCTGTGCAGGTGCATGTGCGTGTGTAGTATATGCAGATATTTGTACCCATGTACGTGCATGCAGAGGCCACAAAAAATGTTAGGTGTTAGCCGGGTGTTGGTGGCGTAAGACTTTAATCCCAGCACTGGGGAGGCAGAGGCAAGTGGATCTTTGTGAGTTTGAGGCCAGCCTGGTCTACAGAGCGAGTTCCAGGACAGCCTTCAAAACAATACAGAGAAATGCTGTCTCAAACAACCAAAAAAAGTCAGGTGTCTTCCTCTATTGCTAGCCACCTTATTCCCTTCAGACAGGGTCTCTCACTGAACCCAAACTTTCATGTAAGCTAGCCTGGCCAGCTATTAAAATGTTGGGATCCTTTTTCTCTATTCTGATGCTGGGGTTACAAGCATGCGTGTCCATGTCCAGTTTTTGTGTGGATGCTAGGGATTAAAACCCAGCTCCTAATGCTTGCACAGCAAATCCTTTTACCCACTGAGCCATCTTGCCACCCTGTTCTGACTGTGTTACTTAATATGCTTCAAACAAAGAAGGAATTTGCTTCTTTTTCTTACAGGCTTGTGAACACTTTTCTCATACTTTTCCCAAAACTCTACAGAATCTGTTCCCATTTCAACTGGAAGCTCATATCATCCCATGTGAAAGAATTCCAGAAGATTTCAAAACAGCAAACTAAATCACTATTAGTGTGCTAGAGCTCTACTGTTATCCCTATTGGCCTAACATGCAGATCTAGCTGTGGGTGCCTACCTGCACACATTCACTCTGCCTAGCTGTGGGTGCCGACGTGCACACATTCACTCTGGTTATACTTGGAAGTCCCTCAAGAGCTTAGTCATAGCATCCTGGTAGTCTTTCTTTTTGTCTGCAGATCCTACGGTGTTGGTCAGCTGTGAAAGCCCTTGATAGACGTAGCAGGCTGACAATTTATCATCTCTGTGTTGAGTTGGAAATCGTAGGAAGCTGTTCAATGGGTTTTCTTAGCCAAATGAGTTAAGCCCAAGAGTTTTCAGAGTTAAATAGCTAAGATTTTGTTTTGTTTTGCTTGAGACCGGATTTCATGTAGCCAAGGCTAGCCTCCAACTCTCTGTGTAGCCAAAGATACCTTGAACTCCTGATCCCTCAGCCTCCCAAGTGCTGGTAGTGCATGTGTGTCACAACCAGAATTCAATAGCTGTTTTACAATGTTTAGTCTCTTTTTCTTTTGAACTGTAGATGTAAGAAGTCCTATCCTATTCATTTGCATGGATTAGTCTCAGATGAGAAACAAATAATTCATGTTTTCATCATGATAGATATTTAGGTGCTACAGACCTAGCTGACAGAAATTCCTCTGATCCTGTCTCCATGAGTGAGTCAGTCTCTAGGAGTCAGTCACACTTTTGTCAGGACTTGTCTTTATAAACATGCAAGACAAATTCTAGAGAAGTTTCTTGGTTTGCATTTTCTCAGAAAGAACTAAAAATGGCAGCTCTTATATAGTGCTCAGTTATCATTTTCTGTAGAATACTATCAACCTCTCATAAGTCCCTAACTTTCTCTCTCTCTGTTTTTTTTTCCTTTCAGTAACTTACTGCCTCTTAATTCCTGCTTATTCTTCATTGTCATTTCTTCATCCTGTCTCAAAAAAATCCACAGTACTCCAACAGGGGCAAAAATAGAGCTTCTGAGCATCAAAAGTAAAGAAAATAATAAAAGAAAGCAAAGACAGGTTAGAAATGAAGAAAATCAAGGAACAGTTCTAGGGAGAAAAATATAATTTATGAGTTTTGAAATACAATACAAAATGAAAATGCCCTAAGAAATGCTGCTGCAGAGTATATTGTATAATCTGGAATAAAGTGAAGGAAAAAACCCAGGGAGGTTATGTGACATAAAGCATCTTGCCAAACCTTATAGGATGCGGCTAAAGGAGTGTCTGGAGGGAAATTCATTGATGAAAAGGCCCATGACACAGAAGATCATTGTCCCATTGCTAAACTTAGCTTCCCACCCTAAAAAGCTGCACCAGAAGAAGAAATCAAATCCAAAGCAAGAAAGAAGGACATGATAATGAGCAGAACAGAAATCAGTGGAATGAAAAAGCGATTCTTTGGAAGGAGTAACACAACAGACACATAGTGGTATATGTGGGCAATCCTAGCACTCGAGAGGTAGAAGCAGAAGAATCAGGAATTCAAGGCTCCATGAGATCCTGCCTCAAACAAATAAGCATTCTTGTCCCCAAATCAACTCCAAAGGGATCAAAGATAGTAAAAGACCTGAAGAGGCTTATTTAGCTTACAGTTCCAGGTTCCAGTTCATCATTGCAGGGTAGCCAAAAGTGTGTGTGTGTCTGTGTGTGGGGTTTATATAGGGCAGAGGAAAAGGCTTCCTGGAGGAGGTGACACACAGGGAATCTGCATGTTCACAGAGGTGTGAAGTTGTGTGATATTTGCACCGTGTGTCAATTGTAAGAAAAGAGGTGGCAGCAGGGCAGGCTCAGGGGTATAACAGGAGCCAGTTCATGCCCGTGGACTGAACATCTGGACACAGCTTAACTGGATGCTCTGCACCTGAGTTTCTCATGGGGCTATGAGCAAGTGTCAGTCATGAGGTTTCATCCCAAGGTTCCTTAGGCAAAGTATTTTGCATACTCAAGTGGAGATAGCTAGAGGCCGCCCCACTTTATTGTTCTGAAGACTTCTTTGTAGGATCACTTATCATGTGGCAACAGGCTTCATTAAACTTTTCAAACAAGCGTGTGAGAAAAATCAGAGAGGGCAAGCAGGATGTCAGACAGTCTTTTTGTAACTTAGTTAGTCCCCAAAGAGACAGCCTGCCACTTCCTCCCTTAGAAACAGGTCATGAGCCCCAGTTCACGCTCCAGGGGACAGGATCATACAACACCATGAATAAGGATGGGGATGACTGGGCACAAAGTTAGGAGTTGCCTCTTAAAGGGGGGTTCAAAACCACAACGTGGGGCTGGAGCAGTGGATCAGCCATTAAGAGCTCTTACTGCTCTTCTAAAATACTTAGGTACATTCTGATTTCTCTTCAGATCATATAAATCTTTCACCTTTTACTACAGTACTTAGGTTCAGTTTCCAGCACCTACATGGTGACTCTCAACCACCCATAACTCTAGTTATAGGGGATCTGACGCCCTCTTCTGACCTCCATGGATACACATGTGATGCACATACATACATACAGGCAAAATACCAATACACATGAAATAAAAATAAATCTTCTAAAATTAAATAAATAAATAAAATAAAATAAATATACTAAAAACTCCCAATGCAAGGAATACTATATGAAGCCTGGAGCTTGCCAGGAGCATGTTTGCCAAGTGAGGAAGTTCATCAGGCTTTGTAAGCAAGCAAGCAGGGTGGAAGCCAGTCCCTTTGTTTCCTGTGGCCTGGGTTTCTGATACATGGAGACAGACCTGTCTGCAGCTTCAAGGATGTTGAACTACAATGGGGCATTGAGAATCAGAGGAGCCTAAGCTCCCAATGTACAGTTACAGTTTCATTGGTTTCCTCATATCTTACCTCCCTTCCTAACCAAGAGACACAGCTCCCAACATAGAACTGCTGTTTCCATGGTTACCTCACATCTAACTCCTTGCCTACTAGGTCTCAATGACAGATAGCCAACGGGTTCAAACCAAGGTTCTTTTCCTTCAGAGTTCATCTTTTCAACTATATTGTGTGGGAGAACACTTCTATGCCTTGTC